ACACTGGTTTATAATGCTAGCCAATCAGTTTTCTCCAAGAAATAATAGTCATACTTGTAGCAAAGACCCTGCTCAGAATTAAAGTTATTAGGAAGATGCTTTTAAAAATACATTCTTCCCACTAGATCTATCCTAATTTATTCAACCACTCCCTCTATCCACCAAACTCTACAACTCTGTGATTTACCCCTCTCCCCATCTTCAGTCCCCCTAACACCTCCCTTTTCCCTTTGGACTTTTATGCACATCTTATTTGTTATCCTTCTATTTTTACAATAATGGTCTTATGCAATATTTATCCTAATGAGACTGAGTTAGTTCACTCAGAATCATGCTTTCCAGCCTCTCCCATGTTATATGATATTTTATGAAATTGTTTCTGAGTGTGGAACCTGAAAAGATGGGGTGATAGTAGACATCGATCAATGGTGATTTGTTTTATAAAACACAGTGTATGAGAATGATCATGTGAAACATAATGTGCATAAAGACTATGTGAAACAATGTACATGGATGAAACAAAATTCATACATATTTTATATGTAAACCAGTATAAAATAACAAAAAGTACATTCTCACCTTGCCAACTAGTGCAGGGATATTCATTGAGTTAGTTGCGAATCCCATCCCAAAGACCATAGCTGCTTCCACATTCAGGAACTTAGCCACAAGATCCTCCAACTCTCTATGCTTATCCAGGTTACCTGCATATGAAATGACCTGATGAGTGAAACTTCTCTCTCAGCATGTACAAGTTAACAGCTCAAATATCAAAGGGTACTCGTTACCAAAAAAAGAAATGCAAGGACTTAGCAGGAATGTCTGTAGTAGGCCCAATGTAGAAAAAACCCAAATTTTCACAAAAGGCAGAATGGCTGAATACATGGTGGTTTTTTCATAATATAGAATTCAGTGCAGCAGTCAGAAAGAACAAACTACTTCATGGATGAGTCTCACAGATGTGATATTAGGTGAAAGAAGCTGGGCCATTAAAAATCATAGCAATAGACTTTGGAATTTCATTTTTATTAATTTTTTTCCAATAGCTAGAACTAATCTATAGTATTTGAAGTCAATATTGTTACTACTTTTGTTGAGAAGCACAAGGAATATTTTTAAATTCTGAGAATGTTTTGTTCTTTGATCTGTTGCTGATTGTAGAGGTTTATTGACTTTGTGAAAATCCGTTGAGCTGAACACATTTGATTGGTACCTTTTTGTGTTTTATAATGCAATAAAACTTACAGAGAGCATCACAATTTCTTTCCTCCACCCTCCATCTCACAAATTATTAACTGGATTATTGCCTGTCATAGAAGGTGCCCCACATCTAAGTGCAAACAGATCTCATGACTTCATAGACAGTCATAAAACCAGATGCAACATTAGAATGTGCTCTACACTTGGCTAAGCACTTTATTTAGATTACTTCATTTAATTTTAAGAGACTAATAATGCAGAGGTTATTACATTATAGATAAGAAAATTGAAACTTAAAGAGGTCACAGATAAAAGGAAACAGAGATGATTACTTTAACACTAATGCTTTTTATAATGACTCTCTTAATTGTTTGTATGCTTGCTCCATAAACTTTCCTTAAACTTAACCTTGTCATGTCTTGTTGGCAGTAAATGTTAATGTTTTCTGTTTGCCATTGCTTGACTGCTACACTGCATTGTACAACATTGTGGCTGGTACAGCAGAAGAACAAAATTTTAAATTTTATTTCTCTTTCATTGATGTCAAGTTGAAATCAACTCATAGCTGACCATCCACTCTGTTTTCAGAGGCTGTAAATCACATGCGTCGAGACGACCTATCTTTCTTCCTAGGAGTGGCTGGTGGATACCAACTGCCAAGAGAGGTGCCAACTTTGATTTTCAGTGCGACTCCCTGATCATTAGGCCACCAGAGCCACCTTCGGTTAATTTTGTTAAAGGTAAAAACAGAATCACTAAAAAGAACTCAAAAACCATAGCTTTATTATTTTTGTAGGATTATAGTTTGCTGCTGTTGTTAGGTGCCACTGAGTCGAGTACAACAACTCATGGTCACTCTATTTGAATCTTGTCCTATCCTGTGCCAACCTCACCATCTCTGACACACTTGAGCCCACTGCTGCAGTCACAGTATCAATCAACCTGATTGAGGGTCTTCCTTAAACACTGAAATTTTAGTCTCCAAATTAAGATATGAAATAACTGTGTTCCAAAGGAGCTCTGATGGCTTAGTGATGAGATTTACTGCCAACATAAATGAACCCAGCTGGAATCCACCAGCTGCTCCACAGGAGAAAGATGGGTAATCTCTCCCCATGAAATTAACTGCCTCTGAAAAGCTACTTGAGGGTCAGCTATGACTTAACACATAACAATAGCAATGTTGTTGTCATTGCTGTTATGTGCCATTGATTTGCCTGTGACTCATATTTGAAGCATGCCCTCTTCTGGGGCCAGTCTGACTCTGATACATCTACCCTCATTACCCCAGTAACAGTATCAATCCATCTCATTCTGAGACTTCCTCTGCTGCGCTGTCCCTCCACCCTTCTGAACATGATTTCCTTCCCCAAAGACTGGTCCCTCTGGGCTATGTGTCCACAGTATGTGAAATGGAGCTTCAAAATCCTAGCCTCTAAATAGAAACTTGGATTCACCTCTCAAAGACAGACTTGTTTCTTGGCTGTCCATGGTATGTTTAAAACTCATCTCCAGCACCACAACGCAAAAGCAATAGCAATACTTTTCTAATTGTAAAGTATATCTTTCAAAGGTGTAGTTTGAAAAGAAAATGTAAAGTATCTCATCAGTAATGTTTTACATTTATTACACATTAAGTGATATTTTGGATAAATCAATTATTGATTAATATTACCCATTTTTTTTACTTTCTTCATTGTAACTACCAGAAAACGTAAAATTACATCTCTTGTCTTTTATTGTGATTGTTCAGTGCTGCTCTGCATGATACACTAATCTGAACAGAAAAATAGTCAAGAGGAGAAATGCAGTCATTTCCACTGGCAAAATGTAGGCATTACTTCTCAGATTTAAGTTAAAGGAATGCTGGCATGTTTGAGACTACTAAAAATATATATCTTGCAACCCAATGACAAATATATCTTATTACACTGGAGGTGTTCTGGTGGCCTAGTGAGTAAACAGTTGTGCTAGCAATCAAAAGGTAGATAGTTTGAATCCATCACCTGTTCCTTTGGTGAACAATCTCTTTTCTTTTCTATTCTATTCTATTCTATTCTATTCTATTCTATTCTATTCTATTCTATTCTATTCTATTCTATTCTATTCTAAATTTTATT